CGAAGGGTGCCGCCGCCGCCCCCACTCCACCGCCACCGCCCTCACTGCCGCCGCCGCCCTCGCCGCCGCCACCGCCGCCGCCCTCGCCGCCCTCGCCGCCACCGCCGCCCTCGCCGCCACCGCCGCCACCGCCGCCACCGCCACCGCCGCCACCGCCGCCACCGCTGCCCAGTCCTCCCGACGCGGCAGCGGGCGGTGAGCGGCGGCTGCTCACAGGCTCGGAGACGGCGTGCATTAGGCGCCGCCGCCATCGAGGCTGCGGAGGGGCAGCTGGACGAGCTTGCGCGGCTGCAGGCGGAGGCGGAGGCGGAGGCGCAGAGGCTCAAGGAGACGCGGCGCGGCATCAAGGCGGTGGCGGGGTCGACTCTCGGCCTCGAGACCGAGCGGGCGGAGCTGGCGCACCAGGCGCCGCATCTCTATGCTGCATCTCGATCTCGCACCATCTCGATCTCGCACCATCTCGACCTCGCACCATCTCGATCTCGCACCATCTCGATCTCGCACCATCTCGATCTCGCACCGTCTCGCGCCTGCAGGTGCGCGCCGTCACGCAGCGGATCGGCCACTGCAAGGAGCGCCTCGAGCGGCAGAAGGAGCAGCACGCGGCCAAGGAGGAGGACGCACGCGCCGCCCTCTCCCTCGCCGAGCGGCAGTGGGGCGAGCTGTCCGAGGAGAGGGAGAGGCACGAGCGGCAGCAGGCGCGAGATGCAGCCGAGAGGCAGCCGAGAGGCAGCCGGGAGGCAGCCGGGAGGCAGCAGAGAGGCAGCAGAGAGACAGCCGGGAAGACAGCCGAGATACAGCCGAGATACAGCCGAGATACAGCCGAGATACAGCGGAGGTGCGGCGCCTCTTCACGGCGCCCCGGTGTGAACAGGACGACTCGGAGCTCGCGCTGCGCGAGCTTCGCGACAAGCACCTCTACGCGCGCATGGAGCACGAGGCGGTGGCGGCTGTGAGCGGCGTCTCTTCACACCCACTGCTGTGAACAGGCGCGCATGGAGCACGAGGCGGCGGCGGCTGTGAACGGCGTCTCTTCACACCCACTGCTGTGAACAGGCGCGCATGGAGCACGAGGCGGTGGCGGCGCGGCTGCAGCAGCTGCAGCAGAAGCTGTCGCTCCAGGCGAGCTCACTCCCCACCAGACGGCCCTCTATCTCGGTTGTATCTCGGATGCATCTCGGCTGCATCTCGGCTGCATCTCGGCTGCATCTCGGCTGCACTTCGGCTGCACTTTGGCTGCACCTCGGCTGCCTCTCCCCGCCAGGTGCGCGCCTACCACCAGACGGTTCTGTCGGCGATGGGGTGCGGCTCCGGAGGGCAACGAGGGGCCACCTGTAGCATAGATCAACGGCGGGTCGACGATGAGTAATAGGTCGGCCTCGGAGAGCACGCAGGGGCTGGCGGCGCAGGGCGTGGCGTGCTGAGGAGAACCGGGGGACCGGGGAGGGCGGGGGGGAGGGGGGGGGCGACGGGCGCGATTGCCGGCTCTGGTCTAGAGAGCGCGGCCGCGAGCAGAGCCGCACGCGCTGCAAGCAGAGACCGGTGTCTGGCGCTGTTGTGGTGCACGATGCGCCACGCCGAGGGTGGGTGGGGACGACGCCACGGGGGAGAACGGGTTGCGTGCGGCGCCGCGAAGCCGAAGGGGTCTCTGCACTCTGGTGCTTTCATGTTTGTCTGGGGAGGGTATGTGTACAGCCGCGATATGTCCATGTGGCGCGCGCGCGCGCGGGGGGGGGGCGAAGACGCGAGATGCGAAGGGCCGTCCCACAAGTACTACTCTTGTCTATTCTTTTGATACGTGCGGGTGATAGAAACAACTAACAAAGAAAAGAATTTTATTGAACTATAAGCTATAACACCGTATCACCGTATCCTGCGTCTGCGTCTCGTGGAAACTAAGACAAGATCACCTCGCTGCACCTGCAGCTGCAGCGCCCCCTGCAGCTGCACGCGCACCTTCGGGCCCGACCGGGGTCGGCAGGCCCGCGAACCCCCCGGCATCTACGTTCTACCGCGCGCGCGACCGAGCATCCCATACCACGCCCACCGCCTCCATCCGCTCCACCTCCTCGTCGCTCATCGCGCTGGCCGACAATCGTTTACGCTCCGCCTCGCTCAGCCCTCGCGCCTTGTAGCGCGTCCGCTGCTTCTGCAACCATGAACCAAGCTTCTCGCCGTCCTCCACGTGCCCGTATGGCACATTGGCGTGCCCCTCTCGCTTCTTGAACGCCTGCAGCAGCGCAAACATTCGCTCCCACTGCTCCGCCAGCGAATCCCACACCACGCCCAACGCCTCCATCCGCTCCACCTCCTCGTCGCTCATCGCGCTGGCCGACAAGCGTTTACGCTCCGCCTCGTTCCACCCTCGGGCCTTGTAGCGCATCCGCTGGTTCTTTAGCCAGACACCAAGCTTCTCGCCATCCTCCACGTGCCCGTATGGCACATTGGCGTGCCCCTCTCGCTTCTTGAACGCCTGCAGCAGCGCAAACATTCGCTCCCACTGCTCCGCCAGCGAATCCCACACCACGCCCAACGCCTCCATCCGCTCCACCTCCTCGTCGCTCAATGCGCTGGTATACCTGCGTTTACGCTCCGCCTCGCTCCACCCTCGCGCCTTGTAACGCTTCCGCTGGACCGACAGCCACGAACCAAGCTTCTCGCCATCCTCCACGTGACGCTGTGGCACGTTGGCGTGCCCCTCTCGCTCCCGGAACGCCTGCAGTAGCCCAAACATGCGCCCCCACTGCTCCGCCAGCACATACCACGCCACGCCCACCGCCTCCAGCCTTTCCACCTCCTCGTCGCTCATTGCGCTGGCAGACTTGCGTTTGCGCTCCGCCTCGCTCCACCCTCGCGCCTTGTAGCGCTTCCGCTGGGTCCGCAGCCATTCACCGAGCTTCTCGCCCTCCTCCACCACATGCTTTGCTGGCACGTTGGCGTGCCCCTCTCGCTCCCGGAAGGCCTGCAGCAGCCCAAACATGCGCTCCCACTGCTCCGCCAGCACATCCCACGCAACGCCCAACGCCTCCAGCCGTTGAGCGCGCATTCCCGGCAGCAGCCCATTTTTGTGAAGGTTGCGCTGGTGGCTAAGCCATCCGCCAAGCTGCTCCCCATCCTCCTCGTATCCCATCGGCACATTGGCGTGCCCCTCTCGCGCCCGGAAGGCCTGGAGCAGCCCAAACATTCGCTCCCAGCGATCAACGAGCTCCCGCGCCACCGTCGCAACCATCCGCTCCCGCTGCACGTCGCCGCGATCTGGCAGTAACAGCACACTGCGCAACGCCTCTGGCCATTCCGAGTAGTCGAGCGGCCGCCCTGCGCGCGCCTCGCCGCTGACGAGCACGTCGAGGGCCTCGCGGAACTCCGCGTCCTGCTCGGCATACGCCCTCACCACCGCCGTCGCCCTGCCATGTGCCCCGCCCTCGGCCGCTGCCTCGCTCACCGGCACCAAAATGTATCCAAACTCCTTGCCCGGCGCGAGGCGCGACGCGCGGCCCATGCACTGGAGGATGTCGACGTGGCTCTGCTTCGCGTCGGCAAACACGACTAGGTCGACCGACGGCAAGTCGACGCCCTCCGCAAGCACGCGGCAGTTGGTCACGAGCTGAGTCGGTGCCTCATACTCGCCCGCCCGGCGCAGCGGCGCCAGCCGCCGCTCTCGCGCGTCCGACAGCATCGAACCGTTGATGCGGCCAACGGCAAACTCGTCAGGCTCGAGGACCGACGTCGCGACTCGCTCGAGCCTAGCAGCGCGGACGTTGGAGGAGGAGAAGGCGAAGGCGGTGCGCACGCCATAGCTCCTGCGGCAGTCGAGCATGGCGAGGCAGAGCGCGACCATGTCCGAGTCGTCCGTGTCAGAGTCGGACGCGCGACCGGCTGCCCACGCTGCATACTTGTCGGCCACGTCCAGAAAGACAAGCTTGAGCGGCGACACGACGCCGAGCCGCACCGCCTCGCCGTAGCTTAGCCGGTAAACATGCCGCCCAAAAAGGCTCTCGTCGTCCATCGATCCGGCCGGGATGAGGGCTCCGTCTGCGTCGCGCTTCTCGCCGATGAGCTTGGGCGTGGCGGTGAGGAAGAGGCGGCGGCGGGCGGGAAGAAACTCGTCGAAGAGCGGCCTCGCAAACAGCTTGCTCGTCCGTCCCGTGCAGCGGTGCGCCTCGTCGCACACCAGCAGGTCGGCCGCAGCTCCAACCTCCCGCAACGCCGCGCCCACGCGATCCACAGAGTGGTAGGTGCAGAAGATGACGCGCGGCGCGCCCTCAGTCTCCCGGAGGAAGGTGACAATGGCGTTAGGGTCCGTCGAGCGCGGCAGCACCGCTCGCGGCACCGACGTTGACGAGCAGACTGCCAGCGACCGCAGGCCTTCGAGCGGGCCTGGAGCCGACCGCCAGCGCTCCCAGTCGCGATGCGACTGCGAAACGAGGTCGCGCGCTGGGACGAGCACGACGGTGAGAGACGAGGCGAGCGCCTCGGCGACGCGCAAGGCGAGGACGGTCTTGCCGGCGCCGCTGGGAAGCACCGCCGTCGCCCGCGAAGCCACCTCGCCGTCGCCAGGCGCGGCGCCGCCGCCGCCGGCATCGTCGCCGCGGCCCGTCGCGTCACCACCGTCGCCAGGAGAGTAGCCAAAGGCGCGGACGATGGCAGCGCAAGCCGCGCGTTGCACGGCAGCCTTGCCGCCGCCGCCTTTGAGCGACGCCCGCAGCGCTCGGTGGAGATCACAGTCCCGCGGAGACTGAAGCACCGACTCGTCGAAGGTCGGCCTGGCAGTAACGGTGGCAGTGCTCAGCGCCACAGCGCCGCGAGCGTGCGGCGGAGGCCGCGGCGCGAGCAGCGCCAGCGAGAGGAGGCTGCAAATCGGGCCGCTAACCGGCATTCTCTGGAAGAAGAAAACTTGGCAGCGATTGGAAAGGCAAAAGAAGAAATCGAGACCCGCTTCTGAAGTCCGACAAAGCGCTCGCCCTGCTAGCCAGTGCTCTCTCGTCACTCTGGCTTCAACGATGAAGCCAGGCTCGCTCTGGCAGACCATCAACGCCGTCACGCTTGCCACGTCGTCAATCAACGCAAGCATCGCCTACTACCAAAAGCTCGGCCTCCAGCTCGAGTGGTACTCGCCCGACTTTGCGACCGTCAGTCCGCATGGGAGCGGGAAAGACTCGATGTTTGTCAACCTCTTCCTCGCGCCGACGGCGCAGCCGCGCTCCACGTGGAACGGCTGGGGCCGCGCCGTCTTTTACGTGAGCGATGTCGACGCAGTCTACGGGCTCGCGCTTCGGAACGGCCTCACGCCGGAGCACGCGCCTCGCGACGCGGACTGGGGAGAGCGGTACTTTCACATCCTCGACCCGTCAGGGCACGAGCTGGCGATAGCGACGCCCATCGGGCACCGGCAGGCGATGCGCGCCACCACACGCTCGCCCGACGCGAGAGCAGAGCTGCCTTCGAGCGGCGGCGCTGCAGAGCCTCGCCGTCCAATACCAGAGGAGGCTCGCCTTGGCTCCGCCTCCGGCGCGGCGGCTCGCATCAGCCGAGAGAGCGGCTCCCGGCCTCCGCGCATCCTCATCGCCTACCACACCGTCAGCAATCCTAGATGCGGAACACTCTCCCCACGTCTTCAATTGGATTCCAACAGCCGAGAGTTCACCATCTCACGGCATCACCATCTACGGATTCCAACTATCACTCGAGAGCGCAGGCATCCTCACCACGGGTTCGCAGCGCAGGTCACCAACCACACGCGCGCCCTCGCCGAAGCTGTCGGCGAAGGCGCGCGCGGCGAAGGCGGCGAAGGCGGCGGCGGTGGCGGAGGAGACGAAGGCAGGAGCGCAGGCAGCGGCGGAGGCAGCGGCGGCGGCGGAGGCAGCGGCGGGCGGGCAGTGGGTGCGCTGCGTGCCGAGGTTCGACTTTGCAGCTTGGTGGACTCTGGAGTAGCAGGTGTGAACAAGAGGAAGGGAGCTGTGAACAGGTGCGAGTCCGCAGCCTGACGGACGTCGACGTGGAGCAGGTGGAGCGATGCCATCCTCGATCTCGGCTCGATCTCGGCTCGATCTCGGCTCGATCTCGGCTCGATCTCGGCTCGATCTCGGCTCGATCTCGGCTCGATCTCGGCTCGATCTCGGCTCGCTCTCGGCTCGATCTCGGCTCGATCTCGGCTCGATCTCGGCTCGCTCTCGGATGCCTGCAGGATGTGATCGAGTGGGCGGACGCTGTGTTGCTCGGCGCTCCGCTCCACTGCGGCAGCGCGAAAAACAGAAAGCTGACCCCCCCTCACAAGGGGAGCTGTGGGTAGGCGCTCCCGTCCACTACGGCAACGCGGCTGCCGCGCTCCTGTCCTGGGTGGAGGAGGGGTGGGCCCCCTTCTGGCAAGTCGCACCTAGAAGGAGGTGTGAACAGAGGAGGTGTGAACAGGAGGGGTGGGCCCCCTTCTGGCAGGACGAGCGGCTCGACGGCAAGTTGGGCGGCGCCTTCGCCACGGCCGGCGGCATGGCGCAGGGCCTCGAGCACACGAGGCTTGCTCTCTCGGCGGGAGCTGTGGGCGGCGTCGATTCACACCTCTCGCTGTCGCGCAGGCCTCGAGCACGCCCTCACCTCGCTGCACCGCACCCTCGAGAGCTTCCGCGTCCAGATCGTCGCCGGCTCGCCGACGAGCTCAAGCTTCGGCTCCTACGGCGAGAGGCAGCCGAGAGGCAGCCGAGAGGCAGCCGAGAGGCAGCCGAGAGGCAGCCGAGAGGCAGCCGAGAGGCAGCCGAGAGGCAGCCGAGAGGCAGCCGAGAGGCAGCCGAGAGGCAGCCGAGAGGCAGCCGAGAGGCAGCCGAGAGGCAGCCGAGAGGCAGCCGAGAGGCAGCCGAGAGGCAGCCGAGAGGCAGCCGAGAGGCAGCCGAGAGGCAGCCGAGAGGCAGCCGAGAGGCAGCCGAGAGATCTAGCCGAGTTGCAGCCGAGATCTAGCCGAGATCTAGCCAAGATCTAGCTCCAACTTCGGCTCCGATGGCGCGGTGGCAGTGGCCGCCCCGCCGCTACGATTGGCTGAGAATCAGAGATGCTGTGAACAGGCGCGGTGGCGGTGACCGCCCCACCGTTCGCGGCGAACCGCAGCGGTACGATCGCCGCGCCCCTTTGTGGGCTACCGGCGGTGGTGAGGCGACTCATACAAGAACCGCACCGTGTGAATAGGCGCCATCGCGCCGCCCTTTGTGGAGGCGGCGCGCTTGTGGGGCCAGCGCGTCGCCGCCGCCGCCGCAGAGCGTGTTCGACAGCGGGGACCGGCGGCGGGCGCGGGGGGCAGCGGGGGAGAGGGCGGCGGTGAGACCACGAGGAGCGTGCGGTTGCAGCCGGGGGCGTCGTGAGATTGCGCAGATCGGCGTTTCGGGCACATCGGGGTCGCACGGGCGACTTTTGTTTGTCCCGAAAGTTTGTGCATTGTGGCTCGCGGGTTGACGGTTGTGGCGTTGTGGTTTTGCGTTTTTGGTGTCGGGGGTGTGCGGAGTTCCGACCGGGTGCGTCGGACGGCGGCGGACGGGCCGACCCAGTGTGTTGTTTGACTGTGCCCAGGCAAGAACATGATTTTAATTGCGGGAGACGTCACGTGAACGCTCTAGAGTTTTTTACAAAGGCTAGTGCCATTTCACTGTGGCACAGCCCGCGTTACAAAACCTTGATTTGACCATTTGCGCAAAAAGGTACATCTCGGTGCCTTCCAGAGGCAGCTGAGACCCCGCCGAGTGGGCGGCGTCCACAGCAGGTGGCGCTGTGTGACATCGATCCACTCGGCGGGGTCGCAGCTGCCTCTGCGCGTCCTGTGGACGTACCTTTGTCGCGCGCCGGAGATGACTCGACGCCGCTGAGATCGGAGATCAAGCTCTGACAGGTCGCACGTCGCTCCTTTGACGCCGACGTGATTCACCCGTGCAGATCACATCAGGACACGGTCTCGACGCGCTCGGTACGACGCCTGCGACCCGTCTCGGGTCAGGTGGCACGACGCTCATCGCGCCTACCAGCGCTGCCGTACAGGTTGCCACAACGAGGTCGAGCACGCTTCTATACGCTCGCCGAGCCTTCCTTTCCATCCCATTAGGCAGCCTGGGAACGGTGGCGATCAGAGGCAAAGCCTACGAGGGGTGGTGGAACCACATGTCACGGCTACTGCCGGCTCGACCCCACGATAGCCTCCGAAGGCTGACTTTGAGGCACCATCATCGGACGATGTCGACGAGTTGCCTTGGGTCGCTCTCGCGGTAGCCAGATGACCTCTCATACTAGGATCATCGGCCATGGCCGCAGGGAGCGCGGGGGAGGGCGCTGGAAGCAACACGGAGCTCCGTTGGAGACGTTTTCAAGATTAGCGTGTCAGAGTGAAATGGCACTAGCCAAACTCGAACAAACTGCTGTGGCGCAGAACCCCCGCCGCCTTTCGGTTTGCCATGGCGGACGTGGCGAAGCTGAAGGGCGCACAGGATTACGCCGGTACATGGACGGAGAAGAAGAAGGACGGGACCAAAGGCGGGCAGACGCTCAACATCAACCAGGTGGGCCCCTGCATGTTCATGACACACAGCTGCGACGGTTGTCCGACTGGCGTCGCGTGCGCCTACCCGCTCGGCGGGGGTTTGTTCTGCTCGGAACCGTTCGCTCTTTATTGTGGCCCGATGTGCATGTGCCCGAACCCCGATGGCACTTTTTCGGACGGTTGCGGGACTACGTATGCGAAGTATGAAGCCCAGGGCCAGGCCCAGGGGGCTCCAATGGGCAGCGCGGAGATGGAACGCTGATCAAGAATGTGAAGCTGCCGACTTCGGAGAAAGTCGCCGACGCGGATGCCCCTAGCTGCCCCGCCCTCTATCGAGATGCAGCGCTGAGCAGGCCGGCCGGGGCTTCGCTGGGCACCGCGGGAGCCTGCAGCCCGATTGCGGGTTGCACGCCGACCTCTCTACCGCACGGTGTATTTATTTAGGCTAAACAACAGTTGGCGGTTTGCTCTAGGGCTCTGACGGGTGAGTCCCTTGTACGGCAAAACTTGCGCTTTTTGCGGCTCTCTCAATGCACTCACAATGCTCATGAGAGTAGTATTACCAAAATTACGGCTTTATATATATACGCGTTCGCTCTTCATGTGATCCTCTCTCGTCTCTCTCTCGCCGTGCGCGCGGAGTGTCGTCTGTCGAACACATTACTTTACGAGTGTTACGTAGTCGTGGGTAGAAGCGTAGGCTGGACGAGCACTACAGGCTCTCTCCCCAGACACCAGACTCATTACGGGCAAAGCCCAAACGTATAACCGGGCGATTGCTCATTGGCATGCTCGGGGGTGGAGAAGCGGTCGACAGGCACCGCGGCGTGGCAAGCCGTGGCGAAGCCGTGGGGCATGCCCGCTGGCGGCTGGCCCACAATCTGCACCGCCACCGGCACCGCCAAAACCGGCACCGCCGCCGCCCTCCCTGCGGCAGCCCGACGTGCCACACCGCTCGCCTGTAGAGCGGGAGCGCCGCGGCTCGCGAGAGCGGCGCGATCCCCGTCACACGTCGTCGTGGCCGCCTGTGTCAACCGATCGCCGCCAGGGGCGCAGTCAGGGTGCGGACACGGTCTCGCGCCGTGTGTTGGGAGCGAGGGCCACGAGGAGTGGAATGCAGCAAGGTGCCATGCGTCTCCTCTCGAGAGCTGGTCAGAGCGCACGGGTCTGTCCCCACCCTCTAATGCGCATCCGCCTTTGCTGCGCGCGGCGGACAAGCCAAGGCGCGCGCGGCGGCCGCACGTTCCACCTCGCTCACGCCCGCAGCAACCCCGCCCTCCGCCAGCGCCTCGAGCGACCCTCGCAGCGAAGCCATCGCGCGAGCACCGCCGTCACCGCCGCCGCCGCCGCCACGGCCGCCGCCGCCGCCGCCGCCGCCCCCGCCCCCACCGCAGCCGCCGTCGCCGCCGTCACCGCGACTGCCGCTACCGCCGCCTCCGCTACCGCCGCCACTACCGCGACCGCCGCCGCCGCTGCCGGCGGAGAGGACGCGCCCAATCACCAGCAGCACCGCGGCGCGCGCCGCCGCCGACGGCGCTGCCGCCGGCGGCGCCGGTGCTTTCTTGCCCGCGTGGCCAGGGCAGGCATGCAAGGGGTGCAAGGCGGGAGAGCGCGTCGTGGCGCGCCTGATGGG